AAAAAAAGAAAGTTTGTTTGTTTATCAGGCCCTGGCTGAGTTTGAACCTGCCACCCCTGGTGCATGGGGCAGGTGCTCTTACCATTAAGCATGGGCTCTTGGCCTGAAAGTTTACATAATTTTAGTAGATATATTACTATAGGTATTGCCGGGCATAGTGGCTCATGCCTGTAATACAAGCACTCTGGTAGGCTAAGGTGGGTGGATCACTTGAGCTCAGGAGTTCTAGACCAGCCTGAGCAAGAGCCAGACCCCATCTCTACTAAATATAGAAAAACTAGCTGGGCATAGTGGCACAGGCTGTAATCCTAGCTATTCGGGAAGCTGAGGCAAGAGGATCGCTGAATCCCAAGAGTTTGATCTTGCTGTGAGCTATGATGATGCCATGGCACTCTACCCAGGGTGGCAGAGGGAGACTCTGTCTCAAAAAAATAAATACATAGATACATAAAACTGTACAGATAGATGCTTGTTTAATACGTATGAGAATCAGTGTGACACAGTGCTTGAAAATGCAGGCTCTGGAGCCAGATCAATGAGAATCTAGTTTTTCTGCTTAACAGCATGACCATGGCAAGTCACTTAACTATGCATGTCTATTTCCTTATGTACAAAATGGAGATACTAATAGTATCAAACAACTTCATAGTTACTGTGACACTTAAAGCAATTAATATAAAAATAAAGTGACTAGAACAGGTTCTGGCTCATATTATATGTTCTGTAAATATTAGCTATTATCAAAGCCTCTCTTTTACCCCTCAGAACTCCAGATGAAGGTACAAGACAGTACAATGCAGTGGTACCAGCAGCTGCAGGATGCGTCCTCACAGTGTGTGCTGGCCTTTGAGGGTCTTACCAACAGCAAAGATGGGCAGGTAGGGGCAGGGTGTACAGTGGGAATTCTCTGGGCTTGATGGTGCTCACAGAATGACAGCCTCATGTCCCATGTGGCATCTACTCTGCTCTTCAAAACACTGTTCTTTTCTGGCAGGCCAAAAAGGTAAAGATGGACCTTCAGAAGGCTGCTACCATCCCAGTGAGCCAAATCTCCACCATTGCAGGTTGGTCAGAGGAGTTAAGAATATGGTCCTTGGGTGGCGCCTGTGGCTCAGTGAGTAGGGCGCCAGCCCCAAATACCGAGGGTGGCAGGTTCAAACCTGGCCCTGGCCAAACTGCAACAAAAAAATAGCTAGGGATAGTGGCAGGCGCCTATAGTCCCAGCTGCTTGG